GCTTATCTTTTGGTGGACCAGAGGTCGGATCTGCAGAGTCTGAGTCAAGCAGGCTATCCTGCTGAAGCAGTATTCCCTGAAGTTCGGACAGTTCCGGTTCACGGAATATGTCGAAGAGCAGATTTTGCATCTGCGTCGACTAAAAAAATAAGCGATGGAAAAAAACCCCTGATTGAATCGATCGAAGAAAGCATTTCCTGAACTCTTAATGAAGACCAGACAGTTGGCAGGCAAAAGAAAGCCTGACTTACCGCTGCCATATCATTCCACCAGGTGATGCGGGCAAATTGGAACTGTGATCGGGTCAGCTGAATACCTAACAGCGTTTCACTGCTCCGGTTCAAGTCAGCCTTGCGTCCGCGAGCCTGATCGAGAAGACAGAAGCGTTTGGCTAAGGCTACAAGATCCAACTGGGTGAGACTTCTCTTGGCGCTGCCATCTGCCTGCTGACTGCAATTGTCCTCCAACACTGCCAGCATGAAACGACGCCAATCGACAACATCAATTTGGCTAGCGTTCGCATTGTTGACCGAGGCTTGTGGAACCCTATATGTCTTGGCCACCTCCAGAACAAGAACCTGTGCCACTGTACTTTCTGCGGCAGGTTCGAAGGCAGCAGGTACAGGTTCCGCTCTTGGTGAATTCCTGCACAATATGTATGGCGTTAGAATCCTGACAAACTTAGTCTCCGCAATGAGGCCGGTTGGTGCCTGTCGTCGAAACTGTGAAAAGCGTGGAAGTTAACGTAAATAAAATGTTTACTCATAAACCATAAGTAGCAAATCTGAATAAATTGTTACAGACCTCGCCGATCAGTTGGTGGATCTCCATGAGGCTGAAATCGGAAGAGATCTGTGGACGTTCACCCGGTTTTACTGGCACAAGTTCAAAGTTGAGATTCAGGCAGGACTCTGTTTTTTTACTTTTTGCCTGTTATAAAGAGAATGCAAAATGTGAGACACTGAATTAAACCATGGTGAGTTAAAAAGACCCAGGTGAATGCCAGGATATGCGGAGCCAAATTTGGTGTTATTTAATCTTTGGAACGAAAGCAAATAAAAACGTACGTCCGCGATTCCAAATTCCTCATTACTGAGCAGTAGACGACCTTGGAGCATCTTGCCGTCCTCGATCGTTTCCCGCATGAGCGCAACCAACCGATTGATCCTGAAGTAGGATATATGGCCTCAGGACAAGGCAGTTTAAGAAAAATAAATCTTCCAAATACTTGTGCAAAGAAAGCAGTTACAAATTGAGTCTATCAAAAATCTTATAGTAGACTAGGAGAAATAATGAGTCCGGTCTATAAGTCTTTACAGCTATATGGAGTCGACCCCCGGCCTCCTAAATTCACGTCTTCTTAAGTTCGCCAGATTTGATCGTTAACTATCGTGACTCTTTCAATAACCGACTTGCCGGAAGATACGGTCTACTTGAAACTACTAATCCAAATTTTCAAATAACATCGGTTTCTATAATGGGTCAAGTGTTTTTAATAGCCAACGAATTTTAATTGTGTTAGCACATGCTAGGTAAGATTAAGAAAAGGAAGGTGCTGACCGCATGTTCACGTCTCCTGATTTAGAGCTCTGCTTTAGGTAATGGACGGCGACTGAGTATCGATCAGCTGCAGAAAACAGAATGGCATTATTATTAAATCCCAGGGAGGTTCAAATGTCCACGTCCGGCTTATGTACGGTTATCAGTCAGTTAGAACCTAGCTTATAGATGGGTCACCTCCTAGTGACTGACCTTAGAGCGATCCAGCTTGGAAAGTGTTGATGTCAGTGAACAACTTGATCGCTTGGTTCACCTCTCTGGTTTTCCCTGACGGGGTATCGTGTTGATGGTTGCTAACGGAAAATATGCTGACAGATCAGGTTTCGAACTTCTTGGGCGTTGATTTATCGTAGCTATAGCGCGACCTGCGAAATAAATACTTTTCCTCCGGTTTGCAGATCGGTAAACACTGTTCAAAATTTTCCTATTTAGGTCACCTTTTGCCGCAGCGCATGTGCAAAAAGCTCTTAAAAGTTTTTCACACATACTCGCGATCGAAAACAGCGGGTCGCCAGGTGTGTAAGATGATCGATTAAGGTGAATATATCCAGTTCCAGTAGTTAACACCTACAGTACGCCACAGAATTCGTACAACACACCGACATATGCGAAAGATTGATACTCTTTCGCTAATCGGCATTGACTCAGGTTGTGATACTGATTATTGTGCTAGTCTATTCTGAAGTCATTTCAGTCAGGATAGGATGCGCGCTTTTTAACGATTATGCTGAAGTCATGTCAGTCATGATAGGATGCGGGCTATTTAATGAGCTTCGTTCTGACCGCTAACAAAACGTATGTACTGTAAAAAGTAACTACT